TTGAGGCTCTGCACCTCCACATATATATATATATATATATAAAAAGAGCTGATCACATGGCTGAAAGCTGAAATTGAAAAAAGATATTAGTCACGATTAGATTGCTTAGTAGTCATACAAAAATAAATACTAAAAACATGCATTAAATTTGATAGTTCTTTTAATTAAATACATATTAAAACAGCTTGCCATATCTTGAAACACCTGTGTTCTGTTCCATTCCGCTACATCTAGTTGTTTATGAACGTAGGAACGCATTGTGTGTGAACTGCACCTCTGTGTGTGACGTGATAATGCCACGGCCATTATCTTCACAACACACCTCACATAATACGCCTACAGGAAATATGCCCGTCATTATATTCAGCCATTGTAATAGATTATCTGAACAAAATTAGATGTCAGGTGCTTCCTCCTGCCTGTGAGTGAATAAGCAGAGTTACCTTGTTGAGCTTACAATGCTTTTTTCCCTTATTATTTGATCACTGTGTTCTTATAGTCATGTTATCTTATCTAGTTGCTCTTATCTATTTAAAAAAAAAAAATTCGTTATTCACAGCATTAGGATCCAAGGTAATGTTCTCATTCATCAATATTAATACATGTCAAATATGTCATTATTATTATTATTTGTCACACTTACAGTAAAGCTAACTTGACAGCTGAGTGCAGATAGAGACCGGTAATAATGCTGATGCATTTGATTAGAAAGAAGATTGAAGGTAAGTAAGCTGTGAAATACTGCTCATTATTATTACCACATTATTTAAATGAGCAGAACAAACATAGACATAGAAGACGGCATGTATGAGAAATTGATCAAATCTGATCAGAAATCAGAGGTGATTTAGCAATGACCTTTTGTGGATGGATATTATTCAAAAATATTATTCAAAAATAGGTAAACAAATGCACAAAAAGGTTTATAAATAGTAGAAATGGGTGATAAAAGCTATTCAGTTGAGTATGTGATTAGAAAGGTTAATAATGTTGAGTCTGTGATGATCTAATGATCTTTAGATCAAACAATTGATTGCACTAGATGGATTATACAATACATGTGATTCATTCTTTCATAAAAAGTAGCAGATGGTATTAATGTGTGTAATAATTTCATGTTATGTTATGTTATGTTATGCTATGTTATGCTTCACTGAAGAAAGAACAATAACTATTACTATTATTATTATTATTATAAAAATTTATTTTTGATGGTTATTATTAATATTAAACCGGTTGTTCCAAACGAATATGACTCTCTTTCTTTCTTTCTTAATAAATAAATAAATAAATAAATCTTATTAATAATAATACATTTTTTATGGTTTTTATTATTAATATTAAACCGGTTGTTCCAAACCAATATGACTTTCTTTCTTTCTTTCTTTCTTAATAAATAAATAAATAAATATTCTGTGGAATGTAATAATAATAATAATAATAATAATTATTATTATTATTTAACAGGTTTCTAAACCTGTAAGACTTACTTTCTTCTGATCATATTTGTCAACAGTCAACCGTATGGACTGTAAGATGACGTATAGGTCTGGGGGCGGGGCCAGTGCGATACCTGCGTTAAAATATTTTAATCACGTTATTTTTTCATAACTAATTAAGTTAAAACGTTAAACTGACAGCCCTAGTTTTAATATTTTGCCATGCTTTAAAGAGGTACATTTATTTTGATGTTTTGGTATCTAGCATACTAAAGCACATGCAAAGTAGCCTACTGTTATTAGATATTACATTTAAAGTTAGTTTTTTAAATGTATAATTTTTTTTCATTACAAATGCGCAAATACAAATACATTTAAAAATACATGACAAACAAGTTTCAATAAAAATGACATTAAAATATATTTTAGTTTACCATAAATGCTGGTTAGTACATTGGGAAGTAGTTACACTTTGAATGAAATAATACATATTTTTTATTAAATTTAGTATTATTAATTAAATAAAATAATAGATGTATTTATATTATATTTATTTGAACTTTACTTTTATTATTCATTTTTTATGGTTTTTATTATTAATATTAAACCGGTTGTTCCAAACCAATATGACTTTCTTTCTTTCTTTCTTTCTTAATAAATAAATAAATAAATATTCTGTGGAATGTAATAATAATAATAATAATAATAATTATTATTATTATTTAACAGGTTTCTAAACCTGTAAGACTTACTTTCTTCTGTTGAACCCAAAATAAGTTAAATATTTAGATTTTTTTTTTGTCCTTACAACGAAAGGTCCACTGTTATTTTAGACACCCAGAGCTGCTGATGCCAGTGTGTAGTGGTCCGAGCATCATCAGAAAATGATTTCACCAGCCTTACTAATGACATGTCGTCTCCGAAGTGGTCTCGACTCGCACATCTCTGCAGGGCGTTTGTGCCCCGGGTAAATATTTGCACCGGCGTCGTTTTCTGCAAGCGAAAACAAAGCCTGATGTCTCTCAAACAGGCTCTGTGTTGCAGGGTGGAGTCCCGACAGCCACCAACTTGTGGTTACCAAGGCATGATTTCCTTCGACTGATTTGGACTCGAAAACACTTTATTTGGCCTTATTTCTAGAAGGCCATAATTTCTCTAAAGAACGCAAGCAGCATCTAATCTAGACTCTTCTCCGCAGCGTAACATGAAGAGGAACGGCAGTCGAGGCTGTGTGACGCGGAAGACGCGCTTCGGCTCTCGAGAGCGAGACTGGCTGAAGGGCGACGCTCAGCGAGGCTGTGTGTGTCTCTACGGGGCCTCGGAGCCTCAGCCTCCAGCCTCGGGTCCCCAGACCTCCACCAGCGCCCAGCCGGACCTGAAGCTGGTGCTCTGCTCCACCAACACCACCGCCGAGGAGCTGTGCGCTCAGAGAGAAGTGCAGGGCCTCTACCTGCAGCTGCACGGAGACTTAATCAGGTAACGCAGAGATAGATGCTCAGTCACCCAGCTGTAATTTTCTGGCTAGACCAGGTCTTGTTTTGATAATGATCCTTATCAAACTCGCGCTGTGGAGCAGTCGGGCCAAACACACACACACACACACACACACACGCAGGTCAGGGTGTTTATAAAAAATGATAAGGTGAATATCAGACGCTTATTGGTTATAAATGACTGGTTAAATGCGAGTTGCAGGGTTGGTCCTTCATTTGCACCTCATGACATGTGACCCTGGACCACAAACCCAGTCATAAGGGTCAATTTTGTGAAATTGAGATTTATACATTATCTGAAAGCTGAGTAAATAAGCTTTCCTTTGATTTATGGTTTGTTCGGATCGGACAATATTTGGCTGAGATACAACTATTTGAAAATCTGGAATCTGAGGGTGCAAAAAAATCTAAATATTGAGAAAATCACCTTTAAAGTTGTCCAAATGAAGTTCTTAGCAATGCATATTACTAATCAAAAATTAAGTTTTGATATATTTACAGTAGGAAATTTACAAAATATCTTCATGGAACATGATCTTTACTTAATATCCTAATGATTTTTGGCATAAAAGAAAAATTGATAATTTTGACCCATACAGTGTATTGTTGGCTATTGCTACAAATATACCCGTGCTACTTATGACTGGTTTTATGGTCCAGGGTCACATATTTTGAATGTTAATGATCCTCCAGGATATCGTCATCATGACCATGTTCGTCATATCTCAGGGTTCGACAGTAAGGATGGCTGGAAGGCCCGGCGGGAGTGTGAGAAGTGCACTTAATTGTATTGAACATGCATTTGCAGTGTACTTCAAATCAAAGTATATTTTTAACAAGCCGCTTTTGCAGGTAATGTAATATATATGACATAAAAGACCACTTGAGTGTACTTAAAAAATACACTTTCATGACTTAAGCGTTGCTTAACATGCTCAAGTGCACTTTTAAAAAGTGCACTTTGTAATCATGTCAAATTAAAAGTTTTACTTTAAAGTACATTTCTTTACAAGTCGTTTTAAAAATCTTTTGTTATGCTTTAAACTTTTTTCGATGTGTTTACTAACATACTAAAGCACTAAAGCTAAAATGTGATTCTTTATGCATGCATGTATTTATTTTTATTTATTTATTAATTATTATTTTTTTACATTTATTTTTTAACTCCAGGTTTGCTATAATTTTTTTGTAGGGCTGCACAATTTGGCTACTTTTTTTTTTTTTTGTGAATCTTAATTGTAACATGCATTTGCAGTGTACTTCAAATCAAAGTATATTTTTAACAAGCCGCTTTTGCAGGTAATGTAATATATATGACATAAAAGACCACTTGAGTGTACTTAAAAAATACACTTTCATGACTTAAGCATTGCTTAACATGCTCAAGTGCACTTTTAAAAAGTCATGTCAAATTAAAAGTTTTACTTTAAAGTACATTTCTTTACAAGTCGTTTTAAAAATCTTTTGTTATGCTTTAAACTTTTTTCGATGTGTTTACTAACATACTAAAGCACTAAAGCTAAAATGTGATTCTTTATGCATGCATGTATTTATTTTTATTTATTTATTAATTATTATTTTTTTACATTTATTTTTTAACTCCAGGTTTGCTATAATTTTTTTGTAGGGCTGCACAATTTGGCTACTTTTTTTTTTTTTGTGAATTAGATATCAATATGTGATTATTTTTATTTTTAAGTTTAAAATATTTTTTTAATTCAAAAATTATTTACAAATTATTTCAGCATAAATGCTTTTTTTAAATCAAGCATTTAAAAATGTTTTATTTTTACAGTGCAACTGTAATGCTGTCTTAATTTCTTCGCTTTCGAACATTTTCGAAACAAATGATGACTGAATTTTAATTTGAGTGACCTGTCCCTTTAAAATCATGACTTCCAGATTTTGGAAAAAACCCACATTTTGAAAACAGTATGAACATTAGTAATAGTGTCTTAGCAACCACTAATGATAAGTGCACAAGAGCAAAACACCAGAATATGCAGGCGTTTGCAACACTCCCTGTGCTCTCGAGGCGGGTTTGTGCTTTCCTCTCTCTCTGTGTGTGTGTGTGTGTGTGTGTGTGTGTCTCTAGTGTCCGCCGTCTGTGGTGGTTTTGAAGGTGTGTCTGACAAAGAGAGAGAAGCAAGTCATGCTTTCCCCTCTCTCTGCCCTTCTGGGAATGACTGGGCTGCGGCTGAGATGGCTAAAATCACATTTTGCAAGAAGCAGTCCAGCCCTGAGCCGAGGTAAAGCCAGGCGGCTAAGCTGAATTAGCTGTGAGGAGGCTGCACATTAGAGCAGCTCACAGGGACATCTGCTGATGTTTGTGTGCTTTCTATCCTCGTCTACTATTTATTTCACTTCAGGTAAGCAGCAAGAAACCATTAAATCCCTAAAGTGTCCTTGTCAGTTGCACTCTGCCTCTCAAAGCAAAGAGCAAAGCCGGGGCGACTGCAGAGTTGGGCTGCATGATTAGTCAAAATAAAAACAAAAGCACATTATGGCTTAATGCAATTATCAGCTGCAAAGGCAACTGAAATAAATAAATGCACTGCGTGTTTCAGAGTGAAGCACAGCACTGTGTTCGTTTACACGTGAGCAGCTCATTATCCGCCGTTATAGTATGCCTTTGGAAACTCAACATGTGCAACCATCTCCTCAAACTTTTAATGAGAAACTCTCATGAAAGAAAAGAGAAGCTTTAAGGGGTCCCAATGGCATTATTC